TTAGATATATATATGTATATCATCAACGAGACATTCAGGTTCTTAAGTATACAAAAAGGCCTACATAAGTTTGTTTAAGACATCAATTTTCTACATTATCAAATGAGTACAACACTGTGTGTTCTGTGATATTCATTAGAGATTACTTTGTTCCACCTTGCTGTTGCCTGTAAGTGCCCTTGGACAAAAGCACACCTGGAATTGTCTGGGAACTAATTTTGTTCAGCAGATGTTGTTGTTTTAAAAACTCAGTAATATACATGGGTTTTCGGCCAGCTGGTAAATTGTACTTACCCATAAGAAAGCAAAAGTTCACAGGAAAGAGAAGGGAAAAAAAGCCAACAACTAATCCATTTTTTTGTTTTAGTAGAGGTTTTATAGCGCTCGCTACTGCATAAGGTCATATGAGCGCCACTTCTATTCTTTCAACAATCATTGTACCTCTATATCATATATAATTTTTTTTTTTTATTCCAACATTTAGAATTTGAATTTCGAAACAAAATATCTCTTGAGCACCTGCAAATGATACAACAGAAAAAGAAAGAACTACATACTAGAATAAAACCTTTTTTTTAATGTTGGAGTTATTTTATTTTAACAAATGACTGACGGTATGTGTTACACCCACGACCTCTAATGTGTCGACCTTTTCTGAATAATTATTCCATTATAAAATGAATGTCCAAGTTCCATCCTCTGTTAAAATAACTGAATCCTTTGACACAAACGTAGGACCCAGCATGCAGCCTCTGTTTAGCATATTGTATCCACTCTGTGTCTTTGTTTGTGTTGCTATAAAGTTTCGTTTTTCTTTATTCATATCCACATAGTCTGACACTAGTTAGATCATGAACAGAGGAACAGAAGATGGGGCATTGTCTCGAAAAGCACAATATCATGATCTCATTATAATAAATTCAAAGTAGCGGGGATATAGTATCTAACATTGCGTGGGTTGTTGGCCTCTTCAAAGTAATTAGAATGTATAAATTCAAGCCTGAAGTATCTTCAAAGTGTTCTCTCTGTTTAATGCTATTCTCATATGGACTGAACTTTTGGCCTGTCTCTTAAAAGCAATAAGAGCTACGTAGGAGGCAGCATCGCGTCCTTTGGCAAAGCTACATCTTTTACAGGGGCAGCACGCCTACAAAATTTGATTACCAGCTTTCTTTTCTTTTATTGTTATCAGTTTTTTAAAACCCGTCTGGCAGCCTTCATACATCATGCATCAATCGTCATATCTTGTTAGTTTTCCATTAAATCTATGAGAGAACCATCGACCTGTCGTATCGCTGAAACTTGCGGGGCCAATTGCCCTAATGGACACGTTTTTAACCGTCATTTCTGGCCTCTGGCTTCCGATTTTTTTGGCCAAGTTTAGCAAAATTCCTCATGGGTAGAGACAGACGGCTAAAAAAGAAGAGTGAAGACAAATCTTATTTGACTAAAATTCTCTGCGATCGAAACACCATTGAGTGGAGCCCTAACATGTTTACAGTTGTCAGGGAACGTCTCTCTCTCTCTCTCTCTCTCTCTCTCTCTCTCTCTCTCTCTCTCTCTCTCTCTCTCTCTCTCTTTCTCTCTTTCTTTCTCTCTCTCTTTCTCTCTCTCTCTCTCGCTCTCTCTCTGCCTCTCTCTCTCTCTCTTTCTCTCCCTCCCTGCATTTTTTAAAAAGACTCTTTGACTCTTTCTGTCTCTCCCTCCTCCTCTCACCGCTCACTTAAAGAAGCATTGTGCCTAATAGAGGTTGGGTGCTACATTCCCAGAGGTTACAAGTTACAAACGTGATCCTGTCACCGGTGTCTGAGGCTCAAGTCCTGACCAATTGGTATCTCTGCTTTTTTCTGGTCTGTCTTATATCTTTTAAATTGCGCGCGCTCGCGCGCGTGTGTGTGTGTGTGTGTGTGTGTGTGTGTGTGTGTGTGTGTGTGTGTGTGTGTGTGTGTGTGTGTGTGTGTAAGTGTATGTGAGTGTTTGTGTGTGTCGTGATAGTAACGTCCTTAGCTATCGCAGGCATACGGCGTGAGGTCTATTCTCAGGTGTGCCATTTCAACTGGGGCCAAAGGAGCTTGCCTCTTAAACGATCTAAACAGACTCAATCAGTGCATAATACTCTACAATCAACGTACCTTGTAGCTAAATTATACCACTCCAGAGTACAGAAAGGGAGACCAATTAGTGCTATGTCTTTGAATACATTGTGTTTTTGCATTCAAGAATTTTGATAAAACTTTACCTAAATAAAACATTTATATTGTATTCGAAAGGAAAGGAAACTTATCCAGCTACCCAATTAAAGACAAACCGCACAGCATAGCTGCTGGAAAATGACGAGTGAATACAAGCTCGTCCACCATGAACAGCTGCTGAACAGAAACAAGCCATCATGGTAAAAAGAGTAAAGTTTAAAAAATCCCAACAATTATAGCAATTTGTAATTATCACAAAAGCCACATCTCGCTGCAGATAATATCAGCGCCTTTCCCTACCATTAACGGTTGTGCTCAATTGGATTAACATAATTTTGAAAGGTGATTTACAAAATTACACACGTTTGATGCTTCACTTATGGCCTTCAAGCGCAATTGTCATGGAATGACTGTCGGGAACAAACAATTCCTCCCACAGAACAATAAAAAGTATCTTAGAGAATCAACCAACTGTGGCAGAGCGTTAGCCAGTTGTATCCCACTGAGCCCGAGTAAGCTTGAACAGGCAGGATCAGGCAGCCCGACTTCTAAATTATCTAGGTTGTGTCAATGGAGGCGTAAAAAACGGTTGATATCGCACATAAGCAGATAGAGATGATACGAGGGTGGTTGACGGATGCTATGGTGTGGTTTGCTCCTTCTTCTATTGTCCTGACCTCTCTTCCTTTTCGTGTTTGTTGCTCTCGTGTAATCTCTAATCATTGTCATTTATATGACCTTATTGCATTGCAAGTGACGTAAAACGTATATTTAAAAAAGATGATACTGAAGCCTAAAAAATAATGAAAATTTAAAAAATAAATAAAACAAACCTTCTCCACTGGAGATTCGGAGTCGCATTGTTAGTGTGCAACGGCACAGAGGCTAACTGCAACACCACAGCCGTATATCCCACTCGTTCTGTTTGATAGAACGTGATTTAAACAAAAGTAAACAGATGCTAACCCCAAAAGCCATGAACTTAGCTTCGAGATATCTGTGCTTATCCTGTAAGTTTTTGAAGGACATAAACAAAAAAAGAAATGGAATCTCATATCAGAATAGTACACCTTAGGTCTCTGAATTTCGAAGCGAAAAGCATGCTCAGCCCCTTAGGTCTCTGAATTTCGAAGCGAAAAGCATGCTCAGGCCTCTAGATACCGGAGAAACTGATATTTAGATGAGGGCGGGTTTCTTTCCTTATTTCGCTGCTTTCCGTGGGCGTTGTCTATCACAGAAAAAAATCGTTCTTTACTTGTCTTCATCGCCCTGTGTCTTCGTTATTTTAAAGTATCATGCTGGACTATGGAGCCGGCAGCCCCATTTCAAATCCCAAACCAGACGTTCTTGAATTTTTGTATTGTTTTATTTTGTTTTTCGGGATTCTCAGCCTGTTTAGTTCAGTCCTGTGGGAGATAAACATTAAATTCGGATGTCATGTTAAAGAACCAAATGGTGTCGAAAAGGCGTTAGACTCATAAAATTACTTTTACTCATATGAGTACAACTATCGTATTACTTGAATAAAAACGACGTTACTGTGTTGTATTAAATAAATAAAAGAAACACATAAATATTCGTTCATGTGACCTAATGCAGTTGCGTGCACCGTAAAACGCTTACCAAAACAAATTAATTTTATTTCCAGACAACGTCGAATAAGCAGCTGCTGGAAAATTTAAACAATGTTAACAATAATTTACTTGCTTTTGGGGGAGTCGATTCTTTGGACATTTCTGTTTATCATTAACTTTCAACTGTTCGAGTATTAATTTGTGGGTTATTTCCATAGAATCTGTCTATCATAAAACCCGAGAGGGAATATTCGACAGGGTCCAAATCAAGAGAATGCGATGAGCATAATAAAACATGTAAATTTATTATGCTATTCGCCAAACCTGTCTCGCCACTGTGCTAAGTGCAAGGAGCGGTATTGATTTCCTGTGTGTGGTCCAACATCTACACAGTCTATACAGTAGACGTCGGTGTGGCCCCAAGCTACTAGAAAAGGCCTCCCTCCTCCATGGTATAACACCCCCCCCCCCCCCGCCCAATCCCCTGGAATCTCCAAAACTTTCTCAGAGTAGTGAGATATTAAAATTTATTAACGTGTCATGATCATGCTTTTCACGCCCTTGCCCTGAAACCAGATTGGGTTGATCACTCTTCAGTTTCTGAATGAATTAAAGAAACAAAGTTTTGCGTGTAGCTCAACTTTGAAATTTTTCAAACCTGATATTTCTCGAACATGCATACATTTGGTGTTCTTTATTTTGACACAGATAATGTACCCTTTGTTCAATTTTGTTTGTTCATCGATTTGTTGAAATTTAGGTAAAGATGAAGGACTTATTACTTTTTAAATTGGGCCTTATTTTTTATTAGGTCCATTTTGACGCAAAGTAGAATTTCAGGAAGCGAACCATCCAAACCTACCATTTAGGGCTAACCTAGGCTGAGAGAGATACAACGTACATCCGAACAGAGGGAGGTACCAGGTTTTAATGTTTTAAAAAGAAAACCTCCTCGCACTTGAATCGAGCTCACGTTCCCTGCGTGTGACCGACAAAACTAAACTTTTGACCACAGGGTCGGGTGGTAATCATTTCATTCTGAAATCCTGACAAAACTGCATTTCCGAGGAGGTCGTCTATAAAGCCTCATGAGAGTAAATGCCAACAAACAAAACCTGGAGATATGACACTGTTGTATTCTTCTGTAGTAATTTGTTGATAATCATAACTTCTTTTTTTTTCATTACAGCGCGAGGGACAAAAGGATCCTTATCGAAGTCTTTGTCCCTGGGCCGTCAAGTGGTGATTGCAGCAATCGCTCATCAAGACTCAATCCTTCCTGAACTCAATCCTGGAGACTGGAGATGGGTGAGCTGTGACGCGCATCGCCACCTCCGCCGTGCCAAGACCGAAGCACGTGCCGTCTCGCTCACACCCGCCACTGCTGTCTTGTCGGAGAGACTGAGTGAGCGAGAGAGTGGGGGAGGGACGGACAGGGAGAGAGAGGGATAGAGAGAGACGTAGAGAGAGAGAGAGAGAGAGAGAGGGAGGGAGAGAGAGAAGGGTAGCAGCGGAGTTGCAACGAGAGGTCACCACCGCCAAGAGAGAGTGCGAGAGTGTCCCATCCAGCAAACGGTTATCCTCGCGCGACTCTTCACACACGCGCGCCTTACGTGAATAGTTCCTTGTGTTACCACTGCAGGTAGGCTGTCAAACATACCAATTATCTCTTGGACATTATCATTCACTTTGTTGTCTATTACGCTATTGGATTATCTTTCTACCCAACTGTTTGTGTCAGTTTTATTTTTAGAGAAGACGTAAATAAAATGTTAGTACTAATCCCTTTCTCGCTCTTTCTCTTCCTTTTTCTTTCTCCTTCTCTCTCTCTCTCTCTCTCCCCCTCTCTCTCTCTCTCTCTCTCTCTCTCTCTCTCTCTCTCTCTCTCTCTCTCTCTCTCTCTCTCTCTCTCTCTTCTTTCTTGGTTTCATATTCCCTCTCTCTCTCTCTTTCTTGCTCTTTGTCTCTTTCGGGTTTTTTTGGTTTTTTTAATACCCCCCTCCCCCTTCTTCGTTTTAAAACGTATATTGAGACACTACAATTGCATGCCATAACACATTATGTTCTTTAGATATCATTTTATTTTTTACAGTAAATTTTAGTTGGTTGTAATAGTAATGTGATATTATCTTAAAAATAAAGATAAACAGAACGAATTTTTGTGGACACTGCTGTTCCTTCTCAAGGATGGCGTCAGCAAAATCGTTCACATGGCAGTTTGTCGATACTGCTATAATAACCGTATCTTACTGTCGTGCAATAATTATTGTAATTCTCAAAAAAAAAGTCAGATATGTGAAGGATTAGAACGCAATCTCTGTCTTGTTTCCCAAAAGCATATTTTTAAAAAGCCTTTCTTTGAATGGAAATTAACGCGGGCTAAAGCACACGTCCTAAATACTTCATTTTCTTTTTTAAATGTTAGAGTTCCGATTCTTTTATTCATTTTGTTCATTCTTTTCTTTTTTGGGGGGGGGGGTGAAGTGGGGTAGGATCACGAGAGACAGAAATTTGAACAAGCTTTATTGCTCAGGTTCAGTGACAAATTGGAATGCGGAATGCGGTCAGGGAGCTCTCGTGGCCTCGGGGTTAAGGTGTTCGCTTCTCATTCAATGTCTGGTAGAGACCAAAAATATTTTTTTCTCTAAAATTGTCTCCTTTCACATCCTTTTCTGCTTTCTAACAATGTTCTGTCTTCTGCTTTCGTCTCCACTTTCTGCCCCCACCCCGTCACCTCCTTTGCCCCCTCCTCTGAGCTCCTGACTCTTTATGAAGCCTTTCTACTGCTACTCCTTGGCTCCTTCTTAATGCTCGTCTTTCCGCCACACCCCTAATCTTCTGGTACAAAAGATCTACACCTACCATTCTCGGACAAGGGCATAAAATCTCGGAGATCCTGTGTGCAAGTCGCGCACGTTAAAGATCCCTTGGTAGTCTAAAATCGATAAGAGTGAGTAGGATTCGGCTGCCACCCGGGCAAAATTCAAAATTTCCTACCCAAAAAAATGTTAATGTGGCCCGCGCGCTCATACAACCTTATGCAGTTGCGAGCGCCCTAAAATACTTACCAGAAATAAAAAAGAATGCGGTCAATGTGTAGCAAGTATGAGCCCACCCCGCTACACCCCCACCCCTCTAACCCCCACCCCTATCTCTACCACTCCTCGCGAAAAGCTCTCTGTTGTGCGAATGTCTATACAATTATAAATCTTTGACGAGATTGCAACACGTTAAGTCTTCAACTAAAAAAAGGGGTATTAATGCTCCCTACCTTAGAATTAAAAGGTTCTGTCTGCCCAGTATCTAGCTTTGAGAAATCGGACGTAAAAATGTTTCACAGTATGTCATGCTTTTTTTTAGTACAATTCTTTGAATATCTTGTTTTTGACTTCGAATAATCTTACGATTTTGATAGTGCATATTATTACAGAGCCTTAAATTTCTGATTTCGTGGTCTGAGTAACTCAATACGGGTAGAAATGTCAGATAGAACGTTCTAATTCTAAAGTAACGTTTTGTCTAACACGTGGACAGACTTCTAATTAAGCTTATATTGTCGCTACAGCTAGAGAATTATTGTTAGTTCTCTCTCTCTCTCTCTCTCTCTCTCTCTCTCTCTCTCTCTCTCTCTCTCTTTCTTTCGTCACATGAACGAAGGTCACAGAGTAGTTTACCGCCCGTTTAACAAACGGATCAGCAACTGTCACCAGAGAGCAATAAAGATCGCAGTTTTGTTATCAATGTGATTATTTCACCAGCAATTACCCACAGACATTGCTGTCTCTTACAAGAGTTCTTGGCTCTGCCTCGGTATTATTAGTTGTAATGCGCATATTACAGCATGTTGCAGAGCTCGGATATACACTACATCAAAGCAGTTATTATCTTTGTTAAGAGTTTCAATTTAGAACTACATTTTTATCAAGAATTAACCATAGCAATAGATGATGTATGCAGTGGCTGAGAAAACGAAATAATTCCAGCAAAGAAATGCATAAACATATAATAATCATACTCTTGACTTTTTAACGAGCTTGGCGAAGATTGCTTGGATGTTTTTATATATTTCTTTTTGTAAAATATGACGTAGATTATCCACTACAGCAAATTGCAGAACACCAAGATTTCAAGATGCTCTTTCTGTGTGTGTGTGTGTGTGGGGGGGGGGGGTTGGGGGGGGGAGGGGGGGTACTCGTGTTAGTGAGACAAACTTTCTGTTATCTACGACAATATTAGTTTCACAGTGCTGCTATCAACGAACAAATGAAGTCTACACTACAAAAATAGAGAAAAAAGAACCATTGGTCATATATACAATATTTCTTTTTTGTCCAGGTTTCGTTAAAGTACAGTTTAAGACACGGTACATAATATCATAATATTTAACGAAAAAAAAACCCACCACAGTTCATATCAACATGACGAGGGGAAAGTGTACGTTTTCTGTTAGATACGATTTTTCAAAGTTGAAATTTTTTCAGAATCACCAAATTGTGACTGCTGTGGTTTCACCCGTAACCCTCAAATGTAACTAAATTTCGATTCATAACTTCGAAACATTCAGAATACTTAAAAGTTTGCTGACTCCCCAAGAACGACAGAAGCACTCACCAGCAAATGCCCGTTTTATTCATGTAAGTAAGACTCCCCCCACCCCCGCCTTTCGATCTCCCTTCCCTGAAAAACATTAAATAAACAGACTGCCACCTTTGTTGTTGCCACCTTTAGATAGTCTGTTAATTAAAGTCAGTGACGTCAGAAAACATTGAAGGCCTTATCATCATTCAGTCAATTACCTCCGATAGATATGCGTATTGTTCCTTCAACTTACAGTGAGCACTTATTTAATCTGTAGGACAATCCCTTACAATTACTTTGCCTTTGTAACGAAAGGCTAAAAGAAAGTTGTTTTGCTGTTGTGTTGTGAATGTCGATCAACGGGGTCGATGTCCTCTTAACACTCTGTCCTAAAACCCGCTCAGAAAAATAAATAAAATGTTGTTCTAAAAGTTTTAACATAAACGGTCATTAATAGAGCTATTCATTCCTGAGAATTTTCTGAGAATAATTATAATTGTTTACTCTGAATCTCCGAAATGTCAAGGTGTGTCAGCTAAACGTATTTACTTCTCATCTAATTCTCATTACAGCGAAGGGTTTTATCTTTCACGTGGATTCAAGAGATCTTCGATAGAGATTTCTTACATTACTGCACAAGAACATCTGTTGTTGATACAGAGAAGTTCTTTGCATGTCGCATATTATATTCTTTACTAATGTCTGTGAAGATCAATGCGGTTGGTATTCTTGTATTAGTTAGCTTAGGGGGAGGCGGAAGG